AGGACTTAATTTTTTTGATCAATTGTAATTGGTATTGGTTTTTGGTTTTTTTTTTTGGTATTTTTAATTTCAGCGTTCATGTGCTCACTGGGAGTATATAGAAATACAGTTTATTATAGTTTATTTTTCTATGTGTATCTTACATCATGTAACCTTACTGAACTTATTAATAAGTTCTAGCAGTTTTATTATAGATTTCTTGGGATTTTCTATGTAGATAATTATGTCATCTCAAATAGGTGCAGTTTTATTTCTTCCTTCTAATATGCATAACTTTTATAATATTTTCTCTTCTTGCCTTATTGCTCTGGCTAGATATTCCAGCATTATGTTGAATAAGGGCAGTGAGAATGGACATCCTTACCTTTTTCTCAGCCTTAAGGAAAAAGCACTCAGTCTTTTACTATTAAGTACCATATAGCTGTAGGTGTTTTGGGAGATGCCCTTTACCAAATTGATTTTTAAATTATAGAGCAGTAAGTCGACTTAATGATGAGGAAGGGTACCGATGGCCTTATGAAGTGGTCAGGTGGTCTGCGTGACTAATGACTTGAAGTGTCCACTGTCCTATCTCAAAATCTTTCTCCTAATCTGAATGATATTTACTTAGACACTCATCATTTTGAGTAAAGGCATCTTTTTTAATGTAAAACCTCTTAGAAGGATTAACATTTTATACTGCTGTTACTCTTGCTTTTGTGAACTAGTTTATTTCTTTTCTCCTTGTCTAAGCACAGAAAGCATGGGATGGGTGGAGAAGAAAGAGGGACAATTTTTGGAGCAGAGAAATGCCACAGTTGGGCAGCAGGAGGGTACTGAGTGCCTTTGCTAGTTAAAGTATAGGCAGGAACTCTGAAAAGGATCTGAGGCCTAATTTAAATTTTTAAAAAATTTATATCATTTTGATATTAAATAACTATAATTTTAAAAGTACAAACGCTACATTTGAGAAGTTTGTTTTGTAATTTATTTTCAAATGGTTCTACATTTGTTTAATATACTCGAATTGTTAATGTCTCCTCAAAGTGAATCTTGTAGGAAGCAAAAACATCCTGTTAATGATAGCCCTTTTGTCAAGAATGACAGCATGTCATTATTTTACTTTCAAAATGAGAAGATGATGTAACACAAGTTATAATAATGAAGCATAAATTATATTTCACAAAAAAACCAGATAACTTTCACTTACTTCGTTTGGGAACATAATTACAGTATTCATATTTTCTCAAGTTTCAAAAAAATGCCCTAATTAGTACATACAGACACTAAATTTGAAAGGTTTATTACATTTTTTCTGGTGTAGTTTGCTTACAGAAATTATTTACAATTTAATAGCATTGAAAACTTTTGTGCAATATACTTATTTAACAGATCCCTTAGTGATTTGGATTGTACTAGGTCAAGAGACAGCTTTTGTGGAAATTATTTTATAATTTTATTGTCTTGTTTCCTAGAGCATAAAGAATATCATGTTTTCTCTTTCTTTTGCTGAACTTCTAGAACACCTATTCTCTAAAATGCATTGCTTCACTTATTTCAGCTTTTCCTCCTTTGACTGCTATGATGAAATAACAATCTAATAGCTTTTACAATATGAAGTTTATACTAGTTCTGTTTGTGCATCAGGCTGCAAATAGTATATACTCATCAAGAGTTTTCTTTAAAATAAGGATAGTGCACTTTGCCAGGAGAATGGAAAAAACTATGATTAATAAGCAAGAGTTAAGGATGAAATGTCTTGGAGTAAGCAATATACTTTTCAAATTAACAGGAAGGAACCAAAACCCAAGATGGGATTTTAAAAAAATACCCATCTGTTCTGAATTAGTTCAGGTCTCTTGACCTGAGTAAATTATATTTCTGGGGGTTAATAGTATCTTTGAATGGGATTGCTGAGCCACTCTTGGTTATCTTTGAGGACATGTAGAAAGTAAGAGAATAATGTAAAAATACCATTCTATGTATAAAATGCCCATAAATTACAACCTGTGAGCTTTATTTTAATCCTTGACAAGATTTTAGAATATATTATTAAAGGGTGGTTTGTAAGGATATATTAGAGAAAACAGTAACCCTTGGACCAATTTTATGTTCACTAAGAGCTAGCATATAGGCCTTGCCATTAAGTTTTGTATAGGGTTACTAGACCCAGGAACTGATTAGGCATAGAATATATGGACTTTATGAAGGCATTTGACAAAGCGTGTCATAATATTCCTGGAGATAGTATAAATAAATATAGGCTAGTTACAAAGATAATTGGATAGTTTAATAACAAGATGAAGAGTTGTACCTGAAATGTACTGAGTAATGGATTAGTATCAACCAAGGTGATATGACAGGGTATGGAGATCTGTCCTCAACTTTGTCATATTCAACATTTTAAAATCAATGAATTAGAGGGATAAAATGACTTATAAGGATCAAATTTGCAAAAGACACAAAGCTTAGAATTTCCTGGATACAAAAAGTAATAGCTAAAGGCTGAGCCTAAGACATATACATATATTTATGTTTACATTTGTAGTTCTGCACTTGGATCTGAAAAGCCAAATGCTCACATAATAGAATGGAAAGTATTGGTTTCAAGGAATAGGTAGCTTAAAGGAGAAGAGAGAAAATAGTAGAGGAAGATTGGGCATGGATCCTAAAGGACAATCAGGGCAGCTACATCTTAAGAGGGACTGAAGTGAGGAACTGGAAGGTCATCGGGTATAAGACAGTGACTGATTCCATTTTTTTTTTTTCTCTCTCTCTGGAACCACAGTGTCTTTGTCTCAGCTTCTCTCTGTGTGTCTACTCATTCTTCTCTCTCATTCCAGTAGTGTGGCTTACTCTGTATCTTGTACATGACCCTTTTCTCTTATGGCTGCCTCAGAAGTGACCTAAATGCCTGGATCTTCAACATTTTCAGGCTTAGTTGCCTCATCTCAGTTTAGGGCTTGGTGCTTCTGTGTCCAATATTCAGTCCTGGTCCACTAATCACCCGTGGCTAGGATAGGTGGGTAGAGGAAGTCATAGTCACCAGACATAGCAGCAGCCAGGGCTCTGGAAAGTGGATTCTTTAAAAGGAGGAAATAGATGAGAAGGGAATGCTTGGTATATTCAGTAAGATGAGACGTGGGTTTTCACTGCAGTATTTTTTTATTTAATATAAAATCCAGTTATAGTATATAATAGCAGCATATAATTGCTAAAAATACAAAAGACCAATGTGATCTAAGTTTGCATTAGAAGATATTAATATTATTAATGATATTACTAATGAAATAGAATGTGAGAAGTTTGAGTCCTCTCTTACTCTGTTTTAGTGAGACCAACCAAGCTGAACTATTCATTTCTGGGCACCATACTTTGAAACACATATTGAACACCGGAACAAGTTCAGAGAAATCTAGAATGAGGAAGAAACTAAGCTGAAGGAATTGGAAGTGTTGACCTGGAGAGGAGAAGACGTGGACTGTTCCTGATGGCTGTCTTTAAATATTAAAAAGACTTTTGTGGGAAAGAGTCCTGGGGTTGGTCCACGTGGTTACTAAGAGGACTAGGACCAATGGATGCTCCAGGGAGACAGATTTGGGATGAACGTGAGAAAGAATTTCCTGAGAGACAAAAGTGGCAGAAGGTGAAAGGGCTGCTTTAGAAAGTAGTTTCCAGCATTTTGGGATGTTAAAATAGAGGCTGAACAACAACATACCTAGGTTGGAATAAACTCAATGAACCCATCTAGAGCTTGAACCAGGTTATCTTTATGATTTCTTTCAAGCCTCATGTTTTATGAATCTATAAATTTGATATCAGTGGCAATTAGATGATTGATGTAGTCATTCATCTATATCCCATGGTATTGTATTATGGTGTTTAATTTAGAATTTTTATTATTAAAGTTTAAATGAGCCAGATTTTACTTTATAAAAATTTATTTCTTCCAGCCAACATTTGTGTAATGGCATTGATAGGCAGATATGGTGGCAACCACTCTTAGTTACAGGAGCAGTTTTTACAGTCTCAAGGGAGGTTGTATTAAGAGTAAATATTCATTGAATAACTTAAGAATTGATTTCAATTTACTGCCCTGAAGCAAGTATTTTATGAAGCTGTCTCTTATCCTTTGTGAATAGCAAAATGAGCAGAGGCTACTTGAGAAAGAAAAAAGAATTATCTCTCTCTCTTGACTTTGCTGAAATTCCATTTTTCACTGCCCATATGCTGGCCACTTTATCTGAAGAAAATAAGAAGATTTAGCTGACATACACCTGGTAGATAAATATAATACAAATGGTTAAAGGCATAGGTGCTGGTTTAAAGTAGACCTGGGTTTTAGTCCCAACTTCTCCACATATTAGCAGGTTATTTAACTTCAGTAGTCTCAGGTTTTTAAAAATAATCTATAAAATGGGTATAACCATATGTACTGAGAGAAAAGAACTGATTTAGGGAGAAGAGATTAGGTTCAAAGTGTTTTTCCTATTTTTAGGCTTATGACAAAATGTTAAGTTCTATAAAAATCATAAATGCTGAAACTGAACAGGAACTTAGAGTTCATTTGGTCCAATGCCATAATTTTACAAAGGAGGAAAATAAGATCTGAAAAAGCCAAGAGGCATCTCCAGGATCACAGACAGCTGGCAATGAAAAGCCAGAGATTTCCTTCCACTTCACGGAAAACTGATCTTAAGACAACAATTGTAAAGATGTTTTCACCATTTTAAGTTTTATTTTCTGGAAAATATTTCAAGAGTAAATCTTTCTTAGAGATACCATGGAGAAATAATTACTCTGTAAGACTCTTCTAATTCTAAGATTTTGTGTCAGAGTCAATATGCCAGTTTAAAAAATTTTATACAGATGTAGGCAATGTCATAATTATTGCTCCATGGCATAGTACACTATATATTTACTTCATTTGACCAGCATGGTTGCAATAATATTTTCTGTTGAACTTTATTTTTCAGATTTTAAAAAATATCATTTTAGTAAGTATATGTTCTATTTCCTAGATGTCACCTGAAGAAAAAGTTTGTAAGTATTGTGGAGTCAGCTATCTAATTCTGCATGAATTTAAGGATATGGAAGAAAAAGTAAAAGCAATGGAAAAAGAGATGAAATTTTATCAAGGAAGTATAGAACGTGAAAAGATACTTCAAGAAAAACTACAGTCTCTTAGCCAAGAGTTTGAACAGTACAAAATTGACAATGAATCCAAAACAGAAAGGTGGAGTATGTTTTTCTTTTCTATCATTTATTTAGTTTGAAGGAAAACTACAGAAAACAGACATTGTACGATTTTCTAGAATTTCTCTATATCAGGTATAATTTATTCTTTAA